AAAGTTGATTTTCACTGATTTTGTGATGAAAGGCTGCATTTTTAACTGGGAATAGCTCGTCTATCTGATACACGGACTGAGAGATGAAAGAGAAGAGGCCAAGAAAATTTGAAAAAAGAGTCGACCTCCATCAACACAACGTACCTCCTCACTGCACCACAAGCAGCTCTGGTCATTTCATAAGCTGCTGCGATCGATTGTGACTTCCCTTTATTTCCTCATCCATCCTATTCCCTCGATCTGGCCGCGTCATATTTTCATATGTTGCCTGCTATGAAGAATTCAATATTTGAGTGTAACTTCAATACGAACGATGATGTCACTGTTTATTTGTGTGAATCTCAGGATAAATCATTCTGTTAAATGATTTTAAACAAACTGCAGTTTATAATTCATAAACGCATTCATACAAGGTGCGCCCATAAAGTAACCGTACAAATTAAAAGATCATACGATAAAATAAAAAAGGAAAATATATGTATATTTCCTTTTCATCATCTTAACTCTTATTATAAGCCATAATAAGGCTTATAATAAGAGTGTCATCTTAACTCTTATTATAAGCCAGTTTAAAGTGGTTAGTTTGTCGTCTGCATACCAAAACGCCGGAGTCATTTTCATTTACTGAGAAGATATTGTGCAAAAGAATTTACTTCGAGGTAGAAAAACGTTATAGCATTAAATTTAATTACACATTTTAAGTCAATCCGCTACCAGAACGCTAGAGATGATTCAAACATTCATACAAGGTGATGTATGGTGATGGATCGACATCAAAAACATAAGTGTATGAGTAGTACAACCGTTTCAAATGTTTTAAATATAGATGCGAAAGATTTGAAGACGAACCAAAAATAGGGCTTCCTTTAACTTCAAAGAATGAAGGAAATTTTGAGAAAATTAGTTCTTTGGCCAAAGCTGATGGATGTGTAAAAATTCAAAAACTTTCAGACATGCTTGGGATGGGCAAAGAAAGCTGTAGGTTAATTTGCTACGAAAATTTGCTGACTATTGCGTGACAGTACAGCAATTTCTTAAAGTGTATCATAGCGGAAGATGAGACCTAGTGCCTACAATACGACCCAGAATCAAAAAGACAAAGTACATGGTGGAAAAACAGTCTTCTCCCATACAAAAAAAAAAAAAAAAAAGGCGCGGATGTCGAAATTAAAGACTGAGGTGATGCTGTTGCTGATTGCATTTTTGTATTACAAAGGACTTATTCACCGTAATTTAACCATGAAAACTAATCAATTAATCAGTATTTTTACAAGGCAGTGCTTTTTCGATTAGGAAATCGGATGAGTTAAGAAGGAACTTTTCGATTCTGGGCAATGGTTTCTTTCGCACGATAATGCTAAGCGCCACGCAGTGCTGTTTGTAGAACAATTATCTTGCTAAACATTCAGTTGCAATGACAAATCACCCACCATATTCTCCTAACTTATCGCCAGCAGATTCTTTCTTTTTCTGCTTCTTAAGATGGTCACGAAGGGACAGATATTTGAAAACGCCTCGGATATTAAACCAAATGTTAGGCTTATTTTGAGAAAGGTTAGTTCCAACGCCTATGAAAAATATTTCGATTACCTGAAAAACTTTCTCTGACAATTATTTTGTGAGACATAAATTTATTTGAAGGTTAGAAATCTTTTCCTTATTTATAAAAAATTGTCCATATAATATATGCACACCTAACCCAGTGGGTCAGCTGTTCTGACGATGGCAAAAAGAAAGAAGGAAAGTATGTCAATAATTTTTAACATGAATTAAGTTAAAAGTTTTAATATTTTCTTTTAATTACGAAATACTTTCATTTTTATCAAAAAAAAAGACGATTTTAGCAAATTAATTCTTAACATTAGAAGATGGTTGTATTTTCAAGTAGTGTACTTTAATTTCGTAGGCAGTTTTTTAATGTTAAAAGCTATTATGTAGAAATGACCTTCAATCAAAAAATTTTTAATTTCTATCAAAACTCTGAAAAAAACATTCATTCGTTTCGTAGCAACTTTAAGAATTCAATAGTTTTTCCATTCTTTCCATTGGTTAATTACAAAATTGTACGTAATTTACATAAACCTTCATGTCGTTTGCTCTTCTAATGATAAAATTCGCAGGTTAATGCTTAGAAGAGAGCAGTCTAAATACGAACTTCTGATGTATTTTTAGCATTCTTGCCAGCGTAGTTTAGTATACCTGGGCCAAAAAAGGAGAACCTCAAAATCTCGCACTTAAGAGCAAGAGGTTTAAATCTGAAAAAATAAACTCACAAATCCTTCATTACCCACTTAAGTTGAAAAAAATCATATTTACCTTTTATTTGCTATAAGGTATTTTTTCCCTTCCTCCAGCATGCCTTCGTGGTGTAACTGGAAGCACACTCGAAGCGTATTCGAGAGGCCCATGGTTCGAGTCCCGACGAGAACATTGCGGATTTCTTCAATTTCATGATAAGTTATTTTCTTTCTCCTTCAAGCATGCCTTCGGGGTGTAACAGTAGCGAACAGGTCCAGATTCGAGTTCCGGCCAGAGCATTGCTCATTTTTCACATCTCCTGATTCAAGAAATTTAATTAATGGCTGTACACAGCAACCAAAATTACTCAAAAAACATTTTCCTGTGGCGAATTAAAACTTCTTCAAGACATTTTCACTTCTATAAAAACTGTCGATGATCGTAATTCTAATCCTTCTTTGCCATCAGCTTTTCAAAAACTTATTTTTAGTTGCTTTTTGTCTATTTTTTCAATCACTAGACGTCATCACTGGTTTCATTTTCTATCATTTAAGTAGAATTTTCCCTAATTTTCCTTTGCTGTTCCCATGTCGCATAGGTTTCTTCTTCCGTCATTTTCAATCTCGCAGCTAAAGTTCTATTTAACATTTGAAACTATATCTCTGGAAAATTTTCTCATGTTATGCCGTTTCTTTTTGCTCATTTTCAATTTTTTTTAACACTATGTGATTAGATTTTTCGATTATTATTATATTTTTGAAATTTTACATATACTTTCTTATTTACTATTTGTAAATATACAGCTTATTATTTCCTTTGGAAAGCTTAATTACTCACCACTATTCAATATAATGAACGCTCATATCGACGAGACGCATTCAGTATTCATAACATTCCAGACTACAACGATGCTGTCCATTGTACCCATAGCTTGAAACTGCACTAGCTGATTTCTGGTCTTTCCTGAAAATCAGGAACATAAGCGCAGGAAAAAAATGTGCCAAGAACACGAAGACTCCATCAGGACAGTCCAGGAGCAACTGCTTAATTAAGGAGAGACAATTAGCGTTGGATACACCTATACGAATAATTATTCATAGGCTCAATACATGCATCTGCAAGGGAGGAATCTTTTGAAATGTTTTAAGATTTCAAAAGAGGGAAAATAATACTGCGCGTTTAATTATTTCATTGAAAGTAAATGCAGTTTATTATCATCTCATATACCTTTTCAAAAATGTGTGCAAAATTAAATACAGAATTGTAATTTTCAGGATATGTACAATAGCTAAAAGAGTTTAAGCAATATGCCTGTTTTAAGCAGAATGCCAAAATAAATTAAAATGCATGCCCTGAGAAATTTTTTTATTTCCTAAGAAAGGCTTTTCAATAATAGTTTTGCACTTATGTAACAATATGTATAAATTATGTTAACTATTGACAGATTTTATCATTAAAGCGGAAAAACTCCAGTTGGTATTCGGAATTCTAGTATTCTATCCATAAAGCATTTTCATACTTTTTTTTACTATATAACTAATAATGAGTATATAAAATATTATATAATGATGTAAACAAAGACAGAGACCACCTAATTACATTAGTCTGTAACTTGATTACCTCTATCTTTATTTACGTTATAACTGTCAAGTCAGCTTAACTAATGATGTTTCGAGCAAATCTATTCTTTTTAGGTATTAGCAAATTATCCCCCTGAGCCGTTTATCAGCTTTAGACACAGACAGATTTAAAACTAAATAACACTATATTTAGCTATTTCTCCTGACTTACAACTAAAACTAAAAATTATCTATCATAAAATAGACACGTATCGACGATACGTAATAAAATTTATACGATTTTCGTTTTTGAAGATTATGAGTTCAAAACAAAATTTCTCCCATATATTTCATCATGTTGTTTGCTGCCAACACAAGTCTCTTACTACCTGGTAGGATCCGCTCTAATCGATATAGTGGAGCTACCGATGGGCTAGGATTAGAATTCAGGAAAGGAAATTGACATTAGTAAGCATATAGTGTCTGCTCGGCATGGGGGCACCTAAAATGCTCTATTATTTTGCCCTTTTGAGTGGTTTAGTGATACGAAAGAAAGGAGAGACCTTCGGTCCATCCCTCGTGGTGTTCTCCATCAAAATTGGGCGGAGCAGTACAGACAACTTGGAGGAACCTATATATGTACTGCACGATCAATGCAGAAATAAATTCTTGGGTCCCGCCCACTTATGCTTATACCTGTACCACCTCGCACGCAATTTAGATTACTGTGACTTTCGATCAGTCACAGCTGCTGCTAACTTTCAGCAACCCCTCCTCCTCACAAGAATGTTTGAAGAGGCAGGAGTTGCAATTAGCCTATCTATCTTTTAAACTTTTTCCCGTATTCTTAATTTGCACAACTTCTTGTCCGGGCGAATAGACATAAACCAAAGACAAAATAAACAGTTTTTAATTTAATATTAATTTAAGATTGTTGGGAAAATTTTTTAAAGAAATTATTGCAATTTAGTAATTAAAAAACTTGAATTTTGATAAATTCTCATAAAAGTTTTGAGTGTTGTGACTTTTAATTATCCATTAAGTTTACAAAACTGTCTTTCTTCAATTTAGTTCCATTTTTACGATTTCATTATACTTTTCTCTTAAAATTCTTAGTGTAGTAGTTATTTTTATTTTTTTGTTGTTGCCTTACTAGTAGGATATATATTATTATTTTATTCCCTTTTTTATATCGCTTTTATTTGCAGGGAGAAAATAGAAACTTTTATTGATGAAAACAAAGCCTTGATCAAAAGAATGTTCGGAGACTATACAAATGCTCCAGTGGATGGAGATATACCAGAAAGTTTCGAAACTTACGATGGAAAGACTATCCACATTAGAGCTAAGAGAGCTAGCCCCAAAAATACATTTCCTCCTACTTCTAATAAGTGAGTGTGAGATTGAAACATAAATAAGCAAGCAATGTTATTTTATTTTCACAGAGTTTGCTTCTGGAAAAACTTGAATTGTATTCCACCAAAACTCATTAAAAAGTGGTTTGTTCAAATTGATGTTTAACATTTAACAATTTTTTTTTTTTTTTTTTTTTTTTTTTTTTAATTTTTATATTGTGATGATCTAAAGTAGCTCTTTACTCTGATTTTTTTACTTAAGTATGTGATGTAGTACTTGTTGCTATTAAAATTCTGCTTTAAATATATTTACATTTAAAAACAATTTATGCAGCATTTATTTAAAAATTCGCATTCATTTTCATTTATAAATCTTTACTTCTCTGGCAATGTATGGGTTATTCAAAATAAAATATTTTATTAAATACCTCGAACAAAAAAAAAAATGATGAAAAAACTGTAAGTACTTGATTTAATTTTATATCTAAAGAGGGAAGAAAATACAAATGGTGATATAACCGACAGGAGACATATTGACTACAATACATGACAGTCAAACAAATTGAGACTGGGATAAAGGTAAATTTCTAATATGTTCTGCATTTATATCTTATTATTTAAATTGCCATAGTCAGCTTATATTGTGATGATCTTAAAGTAATTAAAAACAAAATGTTTGGACTAAAGTAAAATTTTTATAAGCATTTTAATTAACACCCAGCACTTATGTTATGAACTAGAATCTAAATTGGCTGAAGCAGAAACTGTTGCTACAAACTGAAATGACGTACAATCGCAAGTGGACAACATCATTCCTCTTATATGAAAATATAGCACAAACTTGGAGGTGCGGTCTTCTAAAGCTACCATTTTATTACACTTCTTCTTGCCAACGATTGCCAAGCAAGAATATGCAAATAGATACAAGTGCTAGATAATATAGAAGATGTATGAATATACCAATCTTAAACGTATGACATATTATTGAAGGCTAGAAATAAATGCATGTTTATCTGATGAGTAGAAGTTTCTGTTGCAAAAGTCTGATGATCGTACGTACATGTAGCACCAACAATTTGAAACAATAAAAAAATCCTGCATAACTTGATGATCATTTTAAATTACTTGCTGCTTCTTAACCTTGAAAGAAAGTTATTTGTTTGATTCTGGTACACAGACTAATGCATTAAGACTATGATATTTTTCTTTGAAGTATTATTCACCGAAGTTGCTTTTCTTCCCAAGTGAGTGCAATGCAAAGGGCATGTTTCGGTAGTAGTTCCAAGTGCCAAAGAAGGTATTTGTGTTAGAATGCATACAGCAATATCACTGCCGCATTAGATGCATGCGAGTGGATTACATGCAGTGACTACTCTGATTTGATCAAATTATTGAGTAATTCTGAGTTATTTTGAAAAGTATTCTGGATCCCATTCGAATCTTTGTTCGTGCATTTATGAACTATCTCGCTTTTCGCTACCTTTTTGTATCAATCCTAAAAAATTAGCTGAGTTTGATACTTAATCCAGAAAATGATACCGTTGTAATGTAACATTGAATATTTGCGTAAGACGAACTTTTGCAAAGTAATACATTCTAGTTTTTTAACAGAAGATTTGTTTTCTCAAATACTTGTGTACGTCTTAAATTTTCATTATTTTAGCAAGTAAAAAAATTTTTAGATACTTGCATTTATTGCTCTAATTTTCCAATGGATCTTATAATGAATTTTTTCCGAAGATAACTAGTATTATCGCAGCAAAGTTTATATAACAACATAACAATTTTAATGTCTAGTTCAATTACCAAGTATAAAATAAAATAATCTATCTTGCTGTAGAAAAATTGACTAAATTCATTATTTAAATTACCTTTTTTCGTATCACTGCAATTAGAACCATTAATATATTAAACTTCTGTAATCTACAAAAAATTCCGATATTTAGCAATATCAGATATTTATTTTTCTTAAAATAATGATCTGAACAAGAGAAATTTGTTTGCAGTGAAAGTTATTGGATTTCCTGATGACAATCGTAGTGAAAGTTTCAACAATGTTCAACTTGTGTTCAAAATGCGACATTGAACAAATCTTCCGTTTTCCTCAGAACAGGATACATGAAGTAGTGCTCCAGCCAGCAATACTGGTAGCCACTGTTTGAAATCGTTGATGTATCTGTGAGGTTTGCGACGTTCCATCATCAACGAATTTCACCCTGCTTCACCTTCTTGAATTTGATGTACATGTGATTTCGTGCTACTTTACTATACTGCACTGTAACATAGCTTAATAGCCATCATAACTTCTCGTATTTATTCGGTGTAATCTTGTATTTAAAAGCAATTATATGAATAGTTGTGAAAAAGGATTGTCACTTTTTAATAGAATCACATCGTCTGTTGGACTACCGGGTACTTCTATGTTACCTCTGTCATTATTATTTGTACCACAACGTGAGAATTACAAGCCATTTGGCTAATACTGAATACATTTATTATCGCACAGTAGTGCTTGTTAGGTGTAGAACCTCTCCATGCCTCTCTCACACTATTCATGCAATAATCCCCGCGGCTTTCCAGGAATATGCCTCATTACGCAACCACTTTCTATCATACGTATTAGTTTTGTCACTCTGTAGTTGCAAATATTTTAGGTGAGTGCTCCGTTTAATATTCCCATGGTCTGAGTTCCAGATGATTGTTATATGCTATACTTTAAGCCTGTTCATATGCTTGATCTTCCATGAAAATTTCGCAAGAATTATTGTCGGGAAGTACTTCATTTAATAACTTTCTTTGTTAGACTTTATTGAGATCAAAAAAATAATGATAATATTCATATTAATTACAATGCCATCGCAGTTTTTTTTTTTTTATGTTACTACTAACAAAACATGGTTGGCGGTAATTTATCACCAAATTAAAACTGATTAATTGGAAATCTTCTTTTTGGTAGTCTGCCAGTCGTCTATCAGAAAAAGAAATGTAACAAATTAAGACAATCTTTCCATGAAATCTTGTGGTGTAATAGTTATCATCCGATGGGTTGAAATTAAAATCCAAGCAGTATCCAATGGTTCACTAAATATCCAAATGTTGCTTAAGGTGTTTTTTTTTCCTTTGTAGGAGCAAAGAAAGTACATTTAACAAATTAAAAATTAAGAAAATTGAAGAAAAATGTTTTTGCTATCTTTTATATAATCTTGGAATATTTTTAAAGCTTTTTCCTATATTTTTTAAATTTTAATTTTAGTTAAAATCTGAAAAAAGCGATAAATATTGATCGACATGATTACATGTTCCAATATTGTGTTGAGGAAATATAACGAAAATGATTTTCCAATGGAAACTGAAGTAAAGGCAATTAAAAAAAAAAAAAAAAACTACAGAAACTCGTGATCTGAAAGACACTTTACGATGCATAAATAAAAAAAAAATTTAGACATAATGTACATAAAGAATATTTCATTATTTCTTATTCCGCTTGCAATAATTTAATGTTAATAAATAAGCACTTATTAATTATTATTTTACTTTATTTTAAACTATTTATGTATCACTTAATTCTTTTCTTTGTCCAACGAATTTTGAAAGCATGTCTGTAAGTAGACTAAATATAGCGAAAAAGCTCGTAAAAAGTATAAAAAAGCGAAGATTTTTATATGATTTCCATTAATATAAATAATTTCCATTTTACAGGCGAAATGTAATGTTCATGTCATTATAATTGCTTTAGATAAAATAAAATTAAAGTTTGCCTCCTTTGATTTATATTGTTAATATTTTTGTGCATTTTCAGAGTAGACGCTTGTGAATCTGCAGTTGAAATTGTGACCCCATATTGGGCTTCGAACAGCGCTGGAAAACTGCGTGCTATAGTCAATACACAGCACTTGCAGCAAGCTATACACCAAGAAGTGTGTCAGTAAGTTACGTACACAGACTTTTTATAAATGAAAATTGTTTAAGCTATCAATACACTATTTCTAATGGATAATAGTTAGATTCCATTGTTCACTTCTTCTTATAGTTAATTGCATACTGTGAAGTTTAAAAAAAAAAAAAAAGAAAGAAAAAGCTGCTGGTAATACACCTCCTTGTTATATTCCTTGATTCGATGACAGCTGAATGATTAACGTTTTCATTTGAATTATCCTCGTATAAATATGCTAAAAATAGATCTTCATTACGGACTCTCCACATCTGGTTGTTAGTAGCGATAGAAGCATTGACTAGTCAGTAGTAGTGATGGATTTTTAGTATCAGGCCAATACTCATATGTCGTGATGATGGTCATGAGATCGATGGATAATCGAAGTTCCACCGTATTGCGGACTGCTCACAATCAGCAAACAGTTCAAAATATCAGTCTGTCATCTCTGTTCTGTTGTTCTTATCCCGACGAGGCGTAGCAACATTTCTCTAAGCCAAATGCCTAGAGAAACGAAAAATCAGCTACGCAGTTTATCCTTTACAGTGACTTCCGAAATATAAATGGGATAGACGACAGCTCTTTACCACTTGGATTTGATCGACTGGATCTCGTATCACTTCCCAATCGTCCTTTAAGTAAGGGGTATCCGGACTGATTAATTCGCAGTAATTAATCTCATTTCTGACTCCGAAAAACGTGTATTATCTAAAAGTGAGTACTGAGATGTTGATTAATATGCTTGGCTTCATATTCATACCACGTAAATTGCCCGTACCCACTCGAACAGTTAAAGCCATGTACATTATAATAATAGACATAGGAAAAAAGGATAAGTTAAAGATAATAAAAAATGTGATTCTTCAAATTAGCGCATATTCTTTCAATATTTATGTTTTAGTTTCAGTATCTCAATATTGTTATTATCGAATGGAGTTTTTGTGTTCATGGAATTGGCAGAGAGTACCTTGTGACAATTATTTTAAAGTTTTACTAACCAATTAAGTTTAAACAATGTCTTATCATGTCTTGGGTACCATCTACATATTTCCTCAGACAGAAGATTTTCCAAATCAAGAATTCACGAAAGAGAATTTAAGAACTAGATAGACTAACTGCATTCATGGCCATAGAAGTGTACACCTACCATGCTGTCTCAGAGAAAATTATCGGCAGTTTACATTAATCAGAGATTACAATGTTTTCCCTTTGCCGTGTGAGTTGGTAAGTGACATTAAGAGTTAGTTGAGGGGAAATCAACAAGTGCGCTGTTTGCGAGATACTTGTAATGTTTGCTATATTCTTGAAATCTGCTATACACTGCCCAAAACAGAAAATGCAGCACCATGAAAGATTGGGTAGAAAGTAATGTCAATCGATTCACAGATAGGGAATACATATGTAAATAAGTGATTTTATTTATAGAAAAATAAATTTATGCAGGGCTTAAATATACAGGGAATCAGTAAGATGTATAACTAACTACCTCTCGCTGCGATGCAGTCTACGAGGTACAGATTCAATTAGTGTACGGATAGTATCCTGAGGTATGAAAGCCCATATGCTCTGAACCCTCTTCCAACGTTCGTCCTCTGATGAAGGCTGGGATGAGACAGACAAACTAAGACCAATCCATGACCCAGATACGTACAAAAGATCAGTGGACATCCTAGGCCAAGGAATCTATTGGACGTGCTGCAAGGCTTGTCGGTTAGTGTGTGCCTTTGGCGGTGTGGCATTGTACTGCTGGAAAATACCATTGTGTAGACGTTGGAATTAAGGTAGCACAACTGGTTGCAGCATTTCATCAATGTATCGTAGTGTCATCAGTGTGCTTCTGAGGTGTAATAGGAGTGGCCTGCTATCATCACTGATGGCACCCAAAACCGTTTTGCCACCTTGAAAGCGGTGTGGTGTTCAGTAATAGTAGTTGGATTGGCTCTATCTCTCTTACGTCTCCAGACATTTAACCGATGACTGTTATCAAACAAGCAAAATCCAGATTTGTCGCTGAATACCATTGTTCCATTTAGATGTCCAAGTGGCTCACTGACGACACCCTCCCAGTCTTTCGTGTCAATGGTTTGGCATTAACGCCAGTCTTCGCAAAGGGCGGCTTGTATGCGAGCTGCTTTCAGCGTAAACGTCACGAAACTGTTCTGCCAGAGATTGAAGCATCCAAAGCTCCCTACACATTCCGCAAAATGTCCATAGTAATCGATTGTGGAGTCGCCACCACTTGTTTTCTTATACGTCGATCTGTGCATTGTATAGTACTTCTAGCTAGGCTTGGTCTTTTGCGACTATTTATATTTCCTTTCGCCACCACTTCTTTTCTTATGCGTCGATCTGCGCATTCTATAAGTCTTCTAGATAGGCCTGTTCTTTCGCGACTATTTACATTTCCTTCATCTATCCAGTAGCCAAAATTCTATGCAAAATGGATATGTCTAAGTGCATTTCAGCAGCCATACGACAGTAGGACAAATAGCCATAAGTAAGCCTACAATTTGACCCTTCGTAAAATCGTCCGTTTACCGAAACTGCCTATGGTGTCGTCATCCAGGCATCTCTTAATTCACATCTCTTTTCTAGAAAGTTGAACTTCTAGAAATTCTGAATTCTCTAAGCAGCAAAGAGTAGCAACGGTTCGTTTGTCCTCTGTTTCCTTCCCTTTTATCTCGCGCTATAATCACGTGACCAGCTTGTCCCTTATATAATCTGCATGACTTGTTCCGCTATGTATTCCCCAAAATGTGCATATATATATATATATATATATATATTGTCGAATCTTCATATTGCTGTATTTTCTATTTCGGCTGCTGTGTTAAAAGGAAGATGTCTTTAATATTATCGTGCTGTTGATATGTTAATCCACTATTTTGTGCTGTACATTCTAGCATTACCTTTAGTTCCCATCAAGAGTGGATAAATAAAATATTATAGGATTTTAATCTGTCCATATGTTAAAGCTGATCTTTAATATGCTGCTGATTAATAATCAGGGTGATAATTCAGCAACATCAAAATAACAGCTCTGCATGAAGTACTATTAGATAGTTAATTAGACAGCAAAGTTATAATCCTATAAGGCATTTGTTTCTACGATCTAAGAAAACGATACAAAATCGTCTTGGGTACCATTTTTGGCTTCTTTGTGCTATACGTATATAGCATAGTCAACTATCCTAAGCATAAGCGCACTATTCTTGGTGTTTAAGTATTCTGGCATTTAAGAATATTGCAAGGATTTCGATATCATGCTTTAGACAGTCTAGCATCTTTTCTGTCTTTTTTTTTTTTTTTTTTTCTTTTCCCTTGACAGCTAATTTCGACTAAGTTCAGGTTCAGCTGGCCGACGTTTAATTCCGGATTATCACAGAAAAGACAGTTGGCAGAAGGGCAGGGGGTAAGATAATCGTTAGTTTGCGAGTGAGGGTTTAAGTGTAAAGAAGTAAAATACAGCCGTTGTTTGCGAGCTTTTTTAGCCATTTCCTTTTGTGCGTATTGTGTTGTGATAAGATCGAATAAAGAAATAAAATATTCTGTGTGTTTAAATACGTTCTTCGTTAAAGTAACTGAAAGGTGCAATATGATTATCATCCATTACTAGTAACAGTTTATATTACCTTTTATAGCATTCATCTTGCTTACTTTACAGTTTTGCTCTGTCTCGTATGCCTTGAGCCACTGTTAATACATTTACACCAACACAGGGTCTTACTAATTTTTAGAAATGCTTATAAGAGTTGCTAAATTTTCAATCCGTATGCTTGATTTTAGCTCTCAAGTAATACTTTATTTCTTGCAGGTCAACTCAAACGAAAAAATGTGCCAGTGATTGCAGCTGCGAACAGAAATACAAATGGCATCGCCTCTTGGCTTATGATCCTGATGACGATTGTAAAGGAATATTCATGGACTGGTTCCTGTTTCCTTCTTGTTGTGTTTGTCGATGTAATGCACCTAATAAAAATACTTAGTACGTTTAGTTTTTGATTTGGTATCTGTGCTTATCACATCAAACACGCTTTGAATGCACGTAACGTATTTAATAAGTGGCTTACTAATGTATATTTTAATAACTTCAAGAGGCAAAGGGCTTTCTTTCCTTTTCTTCCTCATTCTACTTATCCCGTTAAGCTTTACAAACAAGGTAATTATAGTAATGGTTTCCGATTTAGGAATTAATGCAGGCTACTGAAAACTGCTCCAAAACGATTTGTTTTAAATCCGTTTTACTTATTACTTAATCTTTTACTTATTTACTTATTACTTAATGTTTTACTTATTTAATTTTTCCATTTGGGGTGGTCATTTTAGACTATATTTTTGTATAATTTTTATGGCGGAGTGTTTTGTAAGTGTTTTGTTTATTATATGGGGCTGTGGATCTTATAGTGTGGAATACAGCAACGTTAAGTGGTAAAGGTAGCTCAGGTGAAACTCGGGATATGAGCAAGGCCTTCTTGACAGGAGAAGGCCGAATTCAAAGGGGTTCATCCCTGATGCGACGTCACGAGCGAGGGCAATGGTACTAAGGCCATTTTCTAAGCATGAGTGTAAACAGAGCGTACAATTAACTTAGAAGTGATGTAGCATTAAGTATTTCATTACTAGAATAAATTTAAGTTTTAGCAACATGTATCGAATGTTAAGTTTATTTACTAGCTCACTTTAAAGGGACGGTGGAGTTTAAAAATTAGTTTTTTTAAGTTTTTGTAATTTCAACAAGAAATTTTACACAGTTTATAAAATATATGTTCAAAATTTACTTTATTTAAATTAAAAATTTTTAAATTATTAATTATTTTATTTAAGATTAAAAATGACTTGCGCTCTAATTTTCAATATATTTCTAATTTGCCTTTTAGTAGATAAGACTAAAATATTTGTGTAGCCGTTATGAATATGATGAATCAAAATGTAAAAGGATTTTGTGAATTAAACCAGTTTTCGAAAATATCACCTTTTTTACACATTATCAAGTTTGAGGTTATTAATTTCTTAATACCTCATATTCAAAAAATGCATACAAGTCTACCGTCACATATAATAGCTTTTCTCCAAATATACCATTTTGAACTAAAAATGTCGCATGGAGCATTTTCAGACATAGAACTGCGAAATTTTTGTGAAACGAATTTAAAGCTTCTAACTAATTTGATACTGGTCATAGAACCCAGCAATTAACTTAAATAGAATTTAAAACGCTATAATATTTTCGTTATTATATTTTTATCTCATATATTAATATAACAAATATAAACATATCTCAATTGGTAGTATTCAAAGTATAGGGAGAACAATTTAGCATTTTTTGACGAATAATAATATACTCAGTAAAATAACTGTGTTGAATACATTTTTACATTTATCCAAAATAAAGAGCAAGTACATTGTTATACATTTTAATGCTTGTAACTTCTTTAAAATTAGAGTATAGAATTCGGATTTCTTGCATACGATTTAATTAGTATATGGAATACGAGAGTAAAAAACTCAAATTCATATTTTGTTTTTTAGTTTAAAGGTCACCGTCGCTTAATTCTTTTGTTGACCTGTACTTCTAAGTTAGTCGTGATACAAAACATTTTTATGATAAATGCAAGCTAAAGACTCCCCCCATTTTATCATGTTCTAAACATATTTATACATCGCCAAACACTCATCATAAATATTATAACAATATATAAATTTCTTGATCTTCCTTTTCAACTGTATCAAACACTATCTATAATGCGTTATCAAATAATTCCTTCTTCTAATAGAAAAAATAATAATATTAAAAAAAAAAAAAAAATTCTTGAAAGATAAAAAATATTGAGCTCGAACTTGTACATATATTTTGTACATTCACTAAGCTTAAATGGGAATGCATTAATAATTATAGTCTACAGCATATTAATTATACAGAATTAAATAATTCACTGTAATTTCTTTAGTAATTGTTTAATTATGGTGCATAATACAGTGTTAATTGAACTTTTGCAGATACCGCGAAAATGTTGCGTTTCGGAATGCAAGTCAAATTACTATCCAAATAAGCTTTATATTTTTTAATTTAGTGAAAATTTTTCAATGATAAATAACTGGAGAGTGCTTTTATTTTGATATGCAGTATGAAGTAATAAGCATATTAGATTTTAATTTGTTTAATAATGTCGGTGTATTTACTGTTCTGCAAAACATTGTGTGTCCTTCAGCAAGTATTTGTGAATGTCAAAATTTGAAGGAATTAGAATAATCTGTATTGTATATTATGAAGTTACATCTAAAATAATGGCCTCAGGTTTTGTATTCATTTTATACAAATGAAAATTCTATGTGTAAATTAAATAATGAAGAAATGGAATGCGTTTATATCGCTGTGTTCCCAGCTAGCATATTTTTATCTTAAAATTATCTGATATAAACAATTATATGTAAATAATAGGAAAACTTATCTGAGAAGCATAACTTTCTGTTGATGTCATTTTGACTAACCTAAATTATATTGAGCTTCGATCTGAGTAATGTTTTTTATATGAGAGAGCAAAAACATGTTTCCTTTATTGCTTTGAAATAAGGAAATATTTTAGTTATGATTTACTTTGAATGTCAGTCACACTGCAATTAAAAATTTGGTATAATATTCATTTTAACCGGTGTAGAAGTGTTTAACGCTATTAAACTGCACATAATGTTATGTAACAAAAATATAGTATTGTAAAGAAATTGTAAATATAATATTGTAAAGAATGTTACTGATCAGCAAGCAAAAATTAATATTATTTGAGAAACTCTCCTCAGATGCAACCCCATCGTCTAAGTGTAAAAGATCTGTACTCAGTTCTTCAGTATTTTTTGTTAATAATGCTTATAGGAAGAGAAAAATATATTTGTTTCTCAATACCAGGGAAAAAAAAACACGCCGACTCAAGATCATCTTGGCTGACCGCCCCTGGCTGTGACGTCATCAAACGCTAGCTTCGGCCTTCTCCCATCAAGATGGCCTTCATATGAGTCGGAGTCTAGCTAGCGAGCTTTGGCAACAGTCTTCGCCTCCAGGTTATCGCCGTTTGATAAATTTTTCAAGTATGTTTTATCACATTCACATTGTCGATAAGTGATTGATAAAGAAGACGCCGACTGGAAATGGAACCTTCAAATAAAATTCAACTGAGATTGAAGCAGACCGTAACGAAGATAAGTGGTAAGGAAATATGATTCTGACTTACCATAAGGGTTTTCATTGAATGAAGATGAAGATAACCCGAAACCTGAATGTATTATTTGAAATGAAATACTTGCAAACGAAAGTATGAAAGTGCTCAAGTAAATTACGTCGGCACGTTGAGACAAAGCATCCCGATTTAAAACATCTGTCTCTCGAATTTTTCAAAAGAAAGCTGAAAGTGTTGAAAATGTCAAAGAAAATCTTTTGACATTTGATGTAGTAGTGTGGGAACCCCTATTCTGAGGTATTAAGTTTGGATGGATAGCCCTTGTGAGGCAAACTTCTCATTACAGAAATTATCCCGCTTTAGTTTGACGGAGCCATATTTGTCTCGATGAAGCTTTCTTTCTTCTCATTCGAAGGTCTTAGCGAAAGCAAGAGACACAAAATTTGGCTGAGTATATGTTTGGCATCTTGCCGTGCATTTGCCATGATGCTTTTGTACAAAATTAAGGTTTAGAAACATATGTTTACTTTCTTTTTGTTATAATATACATTAGCTGTGGCGTAATATTTGTATTCTGTTGTTGTTGTTGTTACTAATCTCCATGCCTAGGAATATACTAGACGAGGTCCACGAGTCCATTCACCTTTAGAAAATCGAAAACAAACTTAGGGAAAAAAAATTGTATTCTTTGAACGATAAATGTTATGGTATGTTTACTAAGTGCCATTCATTGTATAAAAATTAGATTATAATTAAACTTCTGCTTCAACAGGTATTAAGATGAAAGAGAAGTGTGCGATGTTACCTAAGAAGATATAAAGTGACTTATGGTTATGTTGCAGGGGGTATGAAATTGAGAGTCCTGCTCTGCATTTTACATGTCCCATTTGCTGGTAAAACCTTTCTTCTCACAGCAGCTTCGCCTCAGGCACTGTATTAAATTCACAGTCAAGTCCATTCAACTCAAAGACTCGCTCGAAATGCAGACACGATTGTGAGAGTGAGTTTCCTCTGGAAAAATCTCTTTATGACAAAGTTGTATTTCACCTTCCTGCAAACCGAAGAAGTTCGTTTTTATGAAACAACGGAAGCTCCCATTATTTCTTATGAAATTTTTATCATCATCATTTGGATCTTCGCACAAATTTAAACGATATAAGATACTCCCTAACAGCAAAGTATTATAGCACAGAACAGGCAAATTCCGAGATATACGAATTGTACTTCGTATTTTTACTTTATTAAAGATATTTCTTAAAGGCACAGATATACTACGCTGTTTTCCTAAGCAACTACAAGAACCTTTAACAAGGATTTCGCTGTGACCTGGAAGTAGTCAAGATCTCAAACCAATAAAAACTTTTGGATTAAAATAAATATTTGTAGAGCAAAACTATAATCAGAGACTATTTCAGAACTTAAAGAAGCAATGCGTCATATTTGTAATAATATAAATATGTTCTGCTGCTTTGATATTTGAGGAAACCGTATCAAAAAATGCAAACTACGAACAAATGGTGTGATTTTAATAATACAACAAAAGGCAAATTAAGAAATGATTATATGCGTTAAATGATTATATGTGCAGAACATTAAATTTATTAAATGCCTAAATGAATTTAAATGAACAAATAGTAGACAGTTTTTCAGGTGTTATTAATAACATCAAAAACCAATAAGTCTCCCCAATCAAGGTGTGAAAACACATTTATCTATTCCTCAATAACATGTAATCTCTAGGCGAACTGTTCATATGAGCTCGAAAGTAACTTTTCCTTCTCGAAAATATCCCCAATTCAGAATATCAGTGTAATGTATAAGCAAA